CCGCTCACTCTGTCTCAATATGTCTCAAGATGGCGGCCAATGTGGGATCGATGTTTCAATATTGGAAGCGCTTTGATTTACAGCAGCTGCAGGTCAGGCTCTCCCGCTCGCCGCACCGGCCGGGCCGCGCCGCCGGACCCCCCCCTCCCTCCCTTCTCCGCCTTCCCTCGGGCCCGGCCTCCCCCTCCTCCTCCCGCTGCCGGCCCGCGCCGCCTAAAGGGAACCCCCCGCTCCGCCCGGCCGCGGCGCTCCGCTCCCTCCGCCCCCCCCGCCATCGATCACCGGCCCCATCGGAAATTGATCCTCTTTGTTCAATTCATCGATCAGCCCAAGATGGCGCCGGAGCCGCCGCTGCCGGGGCTGCCGCCGCTTCGCCCGCTCCGTCCCGGGCTGCTCTTTCCCCGCTCCGCGCTCCCCCCCGGCGGCGGGGCCGTGCGGGGCGGCGGGCGCGGCGGGACTCCCGGCGGCCGCCGCTCATCCCCCGCCCGCCTCCTCCCTCTCCCTCCCCGCCGCCTGCCCCCTTCCCGCCGCCGCGTCCCCGCCGCTTTTCCTCCGCCGGGAGCCGGGGAAAGTTTACCGAGTGCTGGGACTTTGTGTGGGGGCGCCGGGCGGGCTGGCGGTGCAGGCGCGGAGCGGCGGGGGCTGGGGGCGCTGTGGTGCCGGCCGGGCGGGCGGGCGCTCCCCGTCGCCGCCGCGGGGTGCCGGCCCTCGCTCCGCTCCGCTCCGCTCTGCTCCGCTCCGCCGGGCGCGGGGCTCCGGCCGCCGCCCTGCGACCGCCGCGGGCACGGCGCCGGGCCGCGAGGGGAGGGGACGCGGGGAGACCCGCCGGCAGCGAGGGAGCGGCGGAGGGTCCCGCGGGGTGGGAAGGGGCGAGCGCCCGGTGCGCGGAGAGGGGGGCACGGGAGGGCAGCGGCGGCGCCGGGCGCGGGGAGGGCGCGGGGCCGTCCCGGCCGGCGGGAGGGGGGGGGGGGGGGGGCATCGCAGCGCATCTCCCCCGCGGCGGCGGGAGGGCACGTTACATAATTCACGGGCTCTCCAGCCTCTCCTGCTGTCCAGGATCTGACAGGCGAGCGGAATATTGATGCTTTACTGTGCTGGCTCGGGAGAGCCCAGAAGTGCCGTTTCCTGCGAGGGAAAGTCCTCGCAGAGCGGCCTCCCTCCCCGTGCCCCGGGGGAGCGTCCCCGGGGGGACCCGCGGCCCCAGGGTTTAATTGAGTTGCCGGGCTACAGATAAGGCCGGGGCGGGCCGGGGGGGGTTGTCAGACGCTGTGTACCGGTGCTGCTCCCGCCGTGAATGGGATTGCAACACGCGTGTCTCCCAGTTGATTGGCGCAGGAAGGCGCTGCCCTGCCTCTCCAAACCCGCCGCTGCCTCCCGTTTAAATAAATTGGCTCGAAAGCCGGCGGCTGCCCACCCTGGCCCCCGCGGAGGCGGCGTTGGAGCGGGCCGGAGGCTGCGGCAGGCGGAGGGATGGTGCGCTGATGCTGGGCAGAGCCGCATTCCCGCTGCAGGTGAGGGGATGCTGCCGGGGGTCCTGCCGCCCTCCCTTCCCCTCGGCCGGGCTTGCGGGAGCGATGCTCAGACTCCCACCCCAGCAGCCCCCGCAACGGGAGGTGCTGCGTGGGATCTGTGCTGGGAGCCTGGTCCCTTCCGACTTTCAGGTGCATTAGGAGGTGGGGTAAAGTAGCGTTTTGTTTTAGGTTTCTCTGTCGCCTTCCACCCCCTTTCGCGTTTTATTGTTTCTTTTAAAGGTTTTGGATTAAGGTAGACTTGGCTGAACTTTGCTAACTTGAAAGGGTTCTTAATAGTGACCCGGAATACCTACAGGAATACAGAAAATGAGATCCAGATGTAGAAATGTATAAAATAAAACGGATTAAATTAAGATGTAGTTAAACAAGGTCTGACATCTCTAATTGTGGACTTTTGCTTTTGCCTCTGTGTACGTGTGGCTGTACTTGCTTAGCATAGGAAAATAAACGCTCCGAACGTCGCTGCCGCGGCGTTACATTTAACGGTGAACAAGTCTAAATATTGCCTATGAAAATAAAGCCTTCAGAAATGCTTATTGATTAAAACGTATTATGCTAAAGTATCTATCATGTAAATGAAATTCTAAAATGTAATGAACACAGCCAAATGGCATTTTGATAGATTGTTCTATTCTGTTTTTAGTAAAAAATAGCTCACTTTTATCATAATTTAATTTCTGTGCATACTGTAAAACCTGTTGTGGAGTATCACTGTACAAACCTTAATCTCGTTTTTGCAGACTAAATGTGACAGTCTGACTTGAACAGCTTGTAGCTTCTCCTTTGAAGCATTCTGGTAACGCCAGCTTAGAGTTGTTTGAACAATATTCATTACCCGCTTTTGAGGACTGGTGGTTATTTATCCGCGCTGCGGATTGAGGCTGTTCACCTGTTGGCAGGTTCACCAGGCGGGCTGTGAGCAGCACGGAGTTTGCTAACTTTACATACAGAGAGCCCTGGAGTGACCGAGGAGGGAGGGAGCACCTTCTTCCTCCGTATGCAGAATAGTTAATTTGTTTCAAATTAGCTTTTTCTTTTTTTTTTTTTACCCACCCATCTGCACCAAGAGGTAGTGTAATATTTACTCCCACTTGCGGATGAAGCAATGTGCTATAAAAACGATCATTCCTGGGGATGAAGTTCAGTGCCACAGAACTGTCCATGCCTCCCTCCGTCCCTGTCCTTCACTCGCACTGACGTATTACGAGCGTGGAATCGTAGAAAATAAAAATACTTCCGCGTACGCTCTGTTCCAGCACGGAAGCCTGGAGGATTTATGCTTAACACAATTCCACCTGAACCCTGTGAGCTCCAGCTCGTGTAGCTCAGGGTGTGAGGGCTTTGAAGCTCTGTGTGCATGAGAAAGTTGTGAGGAGCTGGGACTGGGCAGTCCCGGATCGCTGGCAGCGAGCGCCGCGTACCCAGCTGCTCCCAACTTCCTCTTCCACCTTCTGTTAGAAGGAGACGTTTAACTGTTGATGAGCTTCGACCTGCCTTGTAATATTAAACAGCAGGTTTCTCCAGATTGTACCCATATTAATTAAAAACAGAGCCAGGAACACTTCAGGGTCTGACTTTTTAAATTATTTATTTCCTTTCGCTAAATAACCCCTTGTTTATAGGGAAAGATGTTTCTAGTGTTGGAGACGGGATTAAATAATTCAGAACTTGGATTAAAGAACAAAAAGGTCTGTTCACAAATGGAATACGAGATGCAAAAATGGCAGCTTCCTACAGGTATCAAACGGGGCTCTTCACTGGAGACTGTACCTGCGAGGCACGCAGCTGAGCATTAACCCTTTTCTATAGCAAAGGTGGGCATGATTCCTAAAGAAACTGTGGAATTGGCATTGCTGCTTCAGTTTGCCATGTGGTGGTAGATGGCCCCGTGTTTGAGGGGGAGGGAGTTGCAGTGCTCAGAGAAAACAGACCCTTGCAAACAGCAAGTGCCATGGCAGTAAATGCAGATGAAATCACTGGAGAAATGCTGCTGCCCTCGAGTTAAAGCTGCACGTCCCGTTCGGAAGCAGCTGTGTGATCGGAATCAGTTCAGCAGCGTGAAGGTAACCTGCTGTTCCACGGTCCCAGTTTGTTTGTGGTTTTGGTGTCACCATCACCTTCACTCTAAAAACAACCTTTTGCTGGAGAACAGGAGAAGGAGCATCGTGTTCCCATGGGCATAGCATGCAGCTCTCCTTGACAGTTTGCTTAATATTTCTGAATATGTGTGTATATATCAATATCAGAGCAGGCAGCTGGTCTCTCTGACCAGCGGGAGTAAGTCTAGCTTGAGCCACAGCTCTGAGTTCTGGATCTGAGGACGAATGGAAGAAGTTAATACCCTTTGAAAACTTAAACTATCTGTAGTCATTTTGACAATAAGCACAAGTTCTCAAAATGTCATTGTAGCTTTTTAGGACAGGCTCACATTCTGGTAAAAAGTACAGTTTCGTATTGCTTTTGAGCAGAACGGCAGAACTCATTACCATCAAGCTAGGGAGTGAAAATCTAAAGGCAAATCTTGCTAATGTGTTTATTTTTTTAAATCTCATCCTGGTATTGCATCATATGTGATTAAAGGATGGAGTATTAGTTCTGTGCAGGCTGTGACTAATTGTTTAAGGTAAACCATTGATCTTATAAAATCTGCAACAAAATCTGGAAAAACTAAGTTGTAATAAATAGCTTTAAAATACTGAAATACTTCTGCTACTGAATTAGAAACAGGTGGAGTTGTTGGCATCTTTTAGTTGGGTCTGATGGTACAGAGCACAAGCTGATGTCTGAAGGAGTTGGTATGCTTCATCAGAACTGGAATTAGTGATCAGGTCTGAGGGTTTAATTTTGCGTATCTGTGCAGGTCTTTGTAGAATTATTCCTGTCCTAAAAGTAGTCAGTGTTTTTCTGTTTATAGTGGTAGCTGAATGTGCACGTGGAGAAGAGTCTCCAGCTGCTGTACCCACATTTCTGCTCCCCTCACCTGCTGGGAGAGGTGTGGTGAAAGCAGCTAGGTGTTCCTGCAGGAAGATGCAGTACAGAGAAGGGAGGGATGGCAAAGCCAGGGCACTGCTGCCAAGATATTCTGAGAGCAATCACTGCTCCCCTGCAGCTGGAAACCTTTGGCAGCTTCTGGTGGTCAGGGTGATGTCTCTGGACACCCTCCACACGTGACATACCAGAAGAAAGGCCCTTGATGTACTTCTGGCACAGAAACTTGTCTTTCATAGGATTCCTTGAGTCCTGTTCCTTGGGAATAAATCTGAGAGCTCTTCTATCCCTTGTTATGTTCCTGCAATGAAATTATGCCCATCAGAAATGTGGCAGAGTCAGTGTGTGCTTCGGTCACTCTGCTCTAATGCCAAGTTTGTGGTTAATTGGATGATGTATTGAGCAGTGCAGTAGGGAGGATTTGGGATATGGTAATGGTTGGGAGTTTTCTGAAAAAATATCGCCCTGGTTGGCTGTGTATAACAATACCAAATAAGTAATGGGTGAAACATTTGCTAGAGAAGAAATTACACGCAGTCTAAAATTCCAGTGAACAGTTATTCTTTATTTGC